CGCCCCGGATGCCAAAGAGTGCACGAAGGCTGCAGAGATGAGCTGAGAGTGAAGTTCTACACACGTGAGTGTCAACCATGGGAACATACGAGTGTGCCGTTCCTCATGGAACCAGAGAAGCAAAGGAGCCCCTGCATCTCCAGCCTTGGACTACCCCCCTAGCCTGACCTCACTTCTTCCTTTCTTTCCCTCAAAGGCCCTCTTTCTTTCTTTTTCTTTTTCTTTTTTAAAATCAGTTTATTAGGGGCTCATACAACTCTTATCACAATCCATACACACATCAATTGTGTAAAGCTCATTTGTACATTCATTGCCCTCATCATTCTCAAAACATTTCCTCTCCACTTAAGCCCCCGGCATTAGGTCCTAATTTTTCCCCTCCCTCCCCGCTCCCCGCTCCCTCATGAGCCCTTGGTAATTTATAAATTATTATTGTGTCATATCTTGCCCTGTCTGACATCTCCCTTCACCCACTTTTCTGTTGTCTGTCCCCCGTGGAGGAGGTCACATATAGTTCCTTGTAATCGGTTCCCGCTTTCCTACCCACTCTCCCTCTACCCTCCCTGTTTCGCCACTCACACCACTGGTCCTGTAGGGATCATCCGCCCTGCATTCCCTGTATTTCCAGTTCCTATCTGTACCAGTGTACATCCTCTGGTCTAGCCAGACTTGCAAGGTCAAGTTCATGTCATGATAGTGGGAGTGGGGAGGAAACATTTAGGAACTAAAGGAAAGTTGTATTTTTCATCGTTGTTACATTGCACCCTGACTGGCTCATCTCCTCCCTGAAACCCCTCTGCAAGGGAATCTCCAGTGGCCTACTAATGGGCTTTGGGTCTCCACTTCGCACTCCCCCCATCATTCACTATGGTAAGATTTTTTGTTCTGATGATGCCTTATACCTGATCCCTTTGACACCTCGTGATCGCATAGGCTGGTGTGCTTCTTCCATGTGGGCTTTGTTGCTTCTGAGCTTGATGGCCGCTTGATTACCTTCAAGCCTTTAAGACCCAAGACGCTATACTTTTTGATAGCCGGGCACCATCAGCTTTCTTCACCACATTTGCTTATTCACCCTCTTTGTCTTCAGCGGTTGTGTCGGGAAGGTGAGCATCATAGAATGCCAATTTAATAGAAGAAAGTATTCTTGCATTGAGGGAGTACTTCAGTGGAGGCCCAATGTCCAAAGGTACTCTTTCCCATTTGCCAGGTTTCATACAATTTCCCATGGGTCCACCACCTGCCATACTGATTCATGGTGCCCAGGAGGCACCTCTTTGTAAACCCCTGTGAGCTAGCTCAGGGGCCCTCGTGTCAGCCTGTCTCTGCCATCGATGGCACAGTGTAGGCTCTCAGAAATGTTTGCACAGGGAGACTTTACTGTACTTGTTCAATGAGCATTCTTAAAAAGCAGAGGAAGCAAAAGGTTTCTAAGGTCTTTCTAGTGCTGTGGCACAAGTAGGTTGTTGATCAACAATGAAAGGGCAGAGTTTTAGAATTTATGGCCTGCTGTCTAATTGGTAAAGCCAGGCAAAGGGGTCTAGAGGTAATGCCCAATTCCATTGAAAGGAAAATTTCTTTACACTTTTCACCCGCTGCTAACCTCAAACCAGACTCCAGATATTCCTTCGGAGTCCTCCTCAACCCCACAATGGGAAATTGTAAAAAACTGAGCACATGGCAAGAGTGAGTTTGGGGAAGGGAATAGGAGAATGTGGACATTTCTTCTCATCCACAATGGGTTGCCACCAGAGATGTTTTGGGATCCCTGTTGGGATGGTCCTTGTGCTGGCCAGGGCCCCCATGTGCTGCATGTACTTAGAGAATCCCTTCTGCTAGCTGGTCAGTTATATCGGTCTGCTTTTGCTTAAGAGCAGCCAGGAATGGAAATGGAGCTGTTAAATTAATCTGGCCACCGTCTGCTCTACTAGTAAGATTACTCAAGTTTCCGTTTCCATCGCTCTCTGACACAGGATGGCCCTTAACTCGTCTCTGCCAGAATCTTTCCAGAACACACCTTCTGAGACCAAACAGCTCTCGTAATGGTGGCAATAGTGCAGGGGAAACGGAGAAGGACACATTAACCCCATGATGGTCCTGTGCTTTGAGCAATCCTGCAGGGGTGAGGGGTGAAGGGTGAGCTAGTGTAGACAGGGATCGGGCTGGAGAGCGTGGCTGCCTTACCTGTGTGCTACTTGAGACCTCGATCAGATTGTGCTGTTGCCTCGAGCAGCCTTGACGACAGGGGAGCTTGACGGGGGAATGTTGCTGAAAAGGCAATTGGACAGATTTTCATCAGGAGGAATGCAACACTCCCAAGCAATACTGACTGTCCAAGGAAATGGAGAGCCCGTGGTCAGCACTGTCAGTTCACACGATGCTGAATGAGTTAAATGGCACCATGACCCATTGTCTCATGCACAGTGCGGAACACCTGATTTGAATGACATCATGGCCAAGTCTTTTTCTTCCCCTTTCCACCATTACCCCAATCTATGCTTGTATGCTACAAACAGGATTAACTTCCTAACTGTTGAATGGCCGCCTGTCATGGCTCCTTCTTCATCCTCGACTCCTGGCCCAGCGGTCAAGTGCTTGGCTGCTTACTGAAAGAGTTGGTGGTTTGCACTTAGCCAGTGACTCTATGGGAGAAACACTGTGGGTTCTGCTTCCAGAAGGATTACAGTGAAGAACACTCTATGGGGCAGGTCTAGTCTGTCACGTGGGAGCACAATGGGTCAGAATCAACTTCAAGGCACAGCATCCATAGCCTTTCAACATCTCTCTGTTAGAGGTAGGCATTTGGAATGATGACGGGGCAGCACCCAGTGGAGTCTCCTTCTTTTAAATTCCATCAACAAATCTTTAACATAAGTTTCGACCAAGATTTGTAGGTGAAATGAAAGAATTTGCATGAGTCGCTTTGGAAAAAAAATTTAATGCGGCTTTGACCTGTGAAAGAAGAACAAAGTGATACTGGGTGGTAAGCTGGACATCTGAAATGAATGGTCAGCCAAAGACCCAAGGCATTTCCTAGAAGAGCCGGGGTCTATATTCAGAGGGATCCAAGAAGCACATCTGTTAAACCAGTGCAATCTACCATGGAAGGAAGAAAGAGGGAATAAAGGAAGGAGGAGGAAGAAGGACAGAAAGGGAAAAAGAAACACTGGATTAAGAAAGAAAACAGATTAGATTGCCACTTGAAGAAAGAAACTGTAGAATTAAAATATTAAACTTAACTCAGTGACAGAAAACACACTTCCATAAACTCAAGAGTTAAGCCATTTAAGCCTGTTGTATTGTTCCATTTCATAAAAAGTAAGTAAGGAACTAGAAGTAGAACATCCAATAGGCGAATAATCAGAATCCCTGAAGAAGACAGAAGAGAAGCACACACAGGAGATTAGAGATGGGAAGAGTTTTAGAGACCATGTAAAATGCAGCCCAGTGCCCGAAGATGGCTGCATACAAAGAAGAAAATAAAGAGAGATTGCTAGTTTATAAACCCCAAATTGAATTTACTTATAAAGAGGAACAAATTGTAGAGCCTTTTATCAAAAACCCTTTTCTGCTTAAATAAGAAAGCCAGAAAAAATTGGAATAATATCTTAAGGAGATATTGTTTTTCTTAAGGAGATTTTAAAGAATGATTTAAATGACCTCAAGAATGAGTTTCATGCACAAATGCAAGTGAGTCAGTGATTTATTTTTTCATTTAACAATGACAACAAAATTGAGCACTCAATATTTACAGGACTTTAAAAGAGCTCATGATACAAATTCATAAGTGAAACAGAAAAGGTTTCTGTGTAACCATGTACCATGTCCAATCAGGAAATGAGAAATTATTGAATACATATCAAGAATGAAGAAAATGGTTCCTTCCTTATTGCCAAATGAATGAGTGCAATTTGGATACAAAAAATTATACTTATACTTTCCATCAGGGATAAATAGGCCAAAATTTGAGTCTCAGATATGAAGAGGCTTCAAAAAGTTCATGGAAAAATTCCATTATCTTTTAATTCCACTTTTCTGTGAACTTTTTGAAGACCTCTCCTATTAGAAGAATTAGAACTTCCTAAAATTTGGAACAATGGATAAAGCTACTAAATAAACTGTGAAGGTATTTCAAAATCTCTTCACAGTGAAGATATAGAAAGTAAAAATAATACAGCATATTAGAAATTATACCCAAATGTTAAATTATAGTACTATTTATAAGATACACAGATCCAAATCAGCATTATAAAGATAAAATTTAGGCTCCAATCAGCAAATAAGTCAAGGACTTTTTTAGACAATTTACATTTGAGGACATAATGAGTGATTTGTTTAAAAAATAATTAGAAATTTCTAGCATCAAAAGCACAAATCAGAAGTGCCATTCATGTCTAATAAGTAAAAACTCAATCATGCAATAACTGATGATCACAAGTAAAATTTGCAAATGAGTAGTTGCTGATATTTGCCCAGTTTTCTGGATACTAATTTGGTAATACAATTCAGGATCCATAACATGCTCACATGGTTTGAAACAGTACAACTCTGGGGAATGAATTCTTAGGAAATATGGAATGTGGAGGGCGTGTTTACTGAAGCATCATTCATTAGAGCAAAAAATAAATGGGGGCATGAGCAGTGGATAAAATAGCAACAGTCTCAATATCTAACAAAAGAAAATGGTTGAATAAATAACCTTTAGCTACTTAATTGTTACAAATTGTAAGTATGAGATAACCATAGAGAAAAATTTTACCTGATAATGGTAAATTTAAAAAGCATATCACAAAATTATATCATAATTACAGACACAGTTCTAAAAAATGAGGCTCTTGTCTGAAAGAAAGTAGGGAGATTCATAAGAGGACCCCTTGCTGAAATTGTGGCTAGTGTTTTCTTGTTTAAATAATTTTATCTGGGAAAATCACGCATCTTTATAAATGTGTGTATATATGTGTATGCATTTGAATAAAAACTGATGGAAAATAGAATGAGAAGATGTAATTTCTCTGTGGTTCCAATCCCATGGGCCTCTCACAGTGTCCCAGGCCAAAGCAAACTGTAACCTCGGACCATTGCCTGGCTCTACCCCGTGGGCTTCAGGCACTGAAGTGGGTTGCACATTGAAAAAGAAAAGATAAATAAAATTAAAATTTTCTGTTGCCTTTTCAAAGCCCCGTGTATGTGTGCACCTGTATATGTGTGCATATGTGCAACCACACAGTGTAATAGTCAGTAATTATGTAGCCCTTAATAGGTTACTGGGGGAGCTTTTAACCTCAGTTTGCTTGTCTGTAAAATGGAGGTAACACTGGCTCTGCCCCACAGGACTGTTATGAGGGCTGCATGAAGTGATGCTTGCAAAGCACCAAGTTCAATGCCCGGGACATCCATGTTCTGTAAAGTGACAGTGACTTGGAAACTGAAGATGGTCTTATTGTTGCTGCTGTGTCCCCATCCCTCTATTTACAGAGTTTCTCCAGTGGTCACACAAAGTTGTTCACATTTCTAAGCTTGGCAATTAGAGACCTCCATAATTCTACCTATTGTCGTTTTCGACTTCCATCCTCTGCTCCTTGAAATGAGTTCTCTCTGCTCTAATCTGGAAATTTATATATATATGAATTCATCTGGCAATTCATATATATATATATATATATATATATATCCCCTAAACTGAAATTTCTTTTTCAACCCTGTGTTTAATTTTTTTTTACAAAAAAACCTTATCACCTTCAAAGTATTCTCCATTGCACTTAATACATTAGTCAAATCTGTGATTCCATTCTTGGAAACATTTTTCAAACTCATTTGTTTGGATGGCTGACAGTACTTCTTTCATTTTTTGCTTCACCTTTTCTACACCCTCAAATGGCTGTCCTTTCATGTCCCTCTTCATTCACAGAAACAAAAAGAAGTTGCATTGAGTGAGGTCAGGTGAGTAAGGTGTGTGGGGCAAGAGAGGCATGCTGATTTTATGCCAAAAACTGATGCACTGAGATGGCTGCGTGAGCAGGTGCATTGTCGTAGTGGCAAAACTAGTCCCCCATCTACCACAAATCAGGCCTTTTTTGTCACACACTGTTAGGCACTCTTTTGAGAACTAAATACAAAGTTTGATTAACAGTCTGACCTGGTGGAACGAACTCCAAATGTACTATTAGTCGACGTTATCATCTGTTCAGAAAGTTGATGCACGTCCAGAACAAAGTTGGTCATTAACTAACATTTCAATGTTTTTGAAATGAGAAAACCACTCATACACTTCAGTTTTTCTCATACCGCTGTCCTTGCAAGCCGTGTTCAGCATCATAACAGTTTCTGTGGCATTTTTCCCTGAGCAGGAAACAAAATTTCACAGTCGTACGCTATTTGCTTAAATTTGCAATCACAAAAAATGAGGTTCGAGCCAAACTGCTTTCATGAAAAATTTCACTGTGACCAGAGAGAACCTTCCCAGGTGATGCCACTGGGTGCACTAACTCAGAAAGAGTTGCTTGATGCTGCCTAGGCATACTATGAAAACTCCACCCAGCAGAGAGTTTATCTGTTTCTTTTTGGGTGGTACCCCCTTTTGTGTGTGTATATACATATACATATACATATACATATACATATACATATACATATACATACACACATGTTGCCATCCAACAAGTTCTAAGAAGTCATTATGCATAGGCTCTTCTCTGAAGCTCCAGGTCCACTGACCACTTAGAGGAGAGAGAAAGACAACAGGTAAGTGAACAAGCACATTTCAGACGCAAACCAGACTGACCTTCTACAGTTCTGTGGAATCATGGTTATTACCATTTGCTCACTTGGTTGTTCCCTATGCCATACCTGTCATGGAGTATCTTTCCATCACACCTGTCATGAAATATATGAAACTTCACACATGGTGTTCCCCCCTCTTCTTGGTTATTGCTATGCTTAAACATTTCCTCTAGTCTTCTTCCCCAAGACGAATCCTCAACATCCTTCAAAGCTCAACCCAAGCTCCACCCTCTTCAAGATGCACTCTCCTGCTCACCTCTCCTTTGTTTAAACATGATTGGCCGTTCTACTCAGACTTCTCTGATTTGGCAGGTAGCTTCTTAGAGCAGAAAGCATGAGTTGTTCCTGTTTCTTGAGGTTTGTTTGACCTCTTAAGAATTCCTTATAATATCGATCACAGTGTTGAACAAATGCTCACTTTTGTTAAGGTGCCGAGTCCATTTTGGTTCAGAACAATGCTGTGTGACAGCATAGATCCTCCCATAAGGCTTTCTAGGCTGTGACCTTGATAGGAGAAGATTGCAGCTCTTTTCTGCCTTGGAACCACTGGGTGGATTTGAACTGCTAATCAGTTAATTAGCGCTAGGGCATGTAGCCATTGCACCACCAGGGCTCCTTCACCACACTAGTGCCGTTGTTTTGATTCTGACTCAAAGTGACACTGTGGAAACCAGAATGAAGCACGGCCAGGTCCTGTGCCATCCTCACAATCGTTGTGTGTGAAGCCACTGTGGCAGCCACTGTGTCAATCCATCTCATCGAGGGCCTTCCTTGTGCTGGCTGACATTCCACTTTATGACGCACGCTGTCCTTTTCGAGACAAGTCTCTTCTGACAGTATGTCCAAGTCCAAGAGAAGAAGTCTTACCACCATCACTTCCAAGGAGCAATTTGGCTGTACCACAGTTGTTTGTTCTTCCGGCGGTCCATGGTATATTCTTGAACACTCTAAAGAGATCATGCCACCACGTGTCTGTCAGTGTGTCATACAGCGGTGGCTGGCGTGTTGCTGTGATGCTGAAAGCTATTTTCAAAATGCCAGGGGAGTTACCCCAAGTGTATGGTTTCAGCTGAGCTTCAGACTAAGAACAGACTACCAAGAAGACATAGGCTGTGCACTTCAGGGGGATTTGTCACTGAAAACCGTACGGATAGCAGTGAAACATTGTCAGTTCCTGAAACCTAATGAACAGAAGCAGAACATTTCAGAGCTCGTACGAGAAGACGAGCCCCTTTGGTTGCAAGGCCCTCAAAATATGACAGAGGAAGAGCTGCCTTCTCAAAGAAAAGTCAGCCGTAAGGACGTAGATGTAATAAAGCCTAGGAGTAAAGCATTCAGGCCCTTCATTTGCTGATGGGTGCAACTCAATGAGAAGAACGCCTACAAATCTCAATTAAGAATTGGAACTTGGAATGTATGAAGTACAAATTTCGGAACATCAGAAGTCATTACAAATGAAATGGATTGCATAGACATCAAAATTCTAGCCGTTAATGAATGGAAATAGACTAGTATTGGCCATGCTGAATTAGAAAAATCATATGCTGGGAAATGACATAATCAAGAGGAACAGTGTTGCATTAATTGTAAAAAAATGCATTTCAAGGTCTATCCTGAAGTTCCATGCTATCTTTGATAGGATAATGCCTATCTGCATAAAAGGAAATCCAATCAATACAACTGCTATTTAAATTTATGGGCCAACCACTGAAACGAGTGATTCTGAAATTGGAGAATTCTACCAACATCTTCCTCCTGAAATAAACCAAACAAATAATCGAGATGCATTGATAGTTACTGATGATAGGAGTGCAAAAGTTGGAGATGCAGAGGAAGGAACAGTAGTTGGAAAGCATGGTCTTGGTGATAGAAGCAAAGCTGGAGAAACAAAGGACATGATGCTTGGTGAGGGGAGGGGCAGCAAAACACACGAAGCCCTCGACAAGGTGGTTTGACACAGTGACTGCAGCAATGGGCTCAAACATAAGATGTAGGACTGGGTGGTGCTTCGTCCTGTCGTACGTAAGGTTGCTATTAGTTAGAACCAAGTTGACAGCACTTAACAACAAAGGTGACACTTGTAACGGATTTGCCCAATGCAGTGCCATTGGACGTCTTCACTGCTGCTTCATGAGCACTGATTGTGGACCCAAGAAAAAGGCGGTCCTTGGCAACTTTCATCTTTTCTCCATTTGTCGTGATGTTGTCTATGGTCTACTTGTGAGGTTCTCTTGCTTGCTTTATACTGCGTTGCGATACGTATGTAAGGCGGGGTTCTTTGATCTTCGCCAGGAAGGGCTTCATCAGTATGAGTCTTCTTCATTTTTAATAAACAAGTTTTATCATCTGCATATCACGGGTTGTTAGGGGTCGTCCTTAAATCTGGATGCTGCTTTCTTCAGCTTTGTGGTGTACCCGTTGACTAAGCGTGGTGAAGTCCTACCACTCTTACACATGTTTCCTGGTTTTGAAACACACAACATCCCCTTGCTTTGAACAACAGCCTCTTGATCTAGGTACAGGTCCCGCATGAGCATGATTAAGTGTTCTGAAACTCTCATTCTTCACAAGGTTGCCTGTGTTTTGTTATGATCCGCAGAGTTGAATGCCTTTGCCTAGTCAAGGAAACACAAGGAAGCATCCTGCTGGTCCTTGTTTTCAACCAAGACCCATCTAAAAAGAGCCGCGGGGACCTCGTTTCACGTCCTCTTCTGAGTCTGGCTCGACTTTCCAGCTGTTCCCTTCAGCTGTTTTCCCGTTATCTTCAGCAAAAATTTTCTTGCCTGCAATTTTCATGATGTTGTTCACATATTTCCACATCCTTACATCGGAACAGGCCCAAACAAAGAAACTCTTCCACTCAGTTGGCCTGGTAGCTGTTTCCCCACTTTCTTGGCATAGATCCGTGAGCACGTCCATCTATTTGTCGAAGCATCTCAATTGTAAGTCTGTCAATTCTTGGAGCCTTTTTTTTTTCATCAATGCCTACAGTGCAGGTTGGACTTCTTCTTTTAGTCCCACCGGGTGCTGATCATTTGCTGCTCTCTGAAATGGTTGAATGTTGACTAGTTCTTTTTTTGTGTATTCCTTCCATTTACTTTTGGAATGCTTCCTGTGTTCAGCAGTTTGCCCAGTCCCTCAATATTGTAACTCGAGGCTGGAAATGTTTCCTCAGTTCTTTCAGCGTGGGAACTGTGCTGTGTATGCTTCTCTTTAGACTTTCTAACTCCAGGTCTTTGCAGAGTTTGTTGTGACGCTTTAATTTTTGTCTTTGTGAGTTGCCCTTGGAAATGTTCTGTTCAGTTCCTTTCCTTCCCTGTTTCTTCCGCTTACTTTAGTGCCTCTATGC